TCTTGACTACTAATTAAAAGGACCTCTCTTTCCAAAAATAGAAAAAAAAAGTTTTTTGCTTATTATTTAGTATTGTGGAGAAAATCCGTATTGCGAACTGCAAAATCTATTGTATTCATTCATAGCCCTAGCCTTCCAGTTTTGAAGTTCTTATGAATCCCGCCACCTGCTTTGTTTCGGAGAACGATACATTGCATGGGACAGTAAGATGTTCGTCAAACACCTGATTTCTGATTCTGCACATCCCGCATATCTGCATTCACATAGGAAATTGAGCGGGTTCTTCGCAGAACCCCCGTGAATCAATATCAGATGTACCTATGTTTTTTGGTGATCAAACGTGGATCGCTTAGTCTCAACTTCAGCAGCTTATGCACTGCGTCGGGAGATTTGATAAATCTTCCTGCATGGCGTTGTCTTGCGCCTTTTTTCCTATAGCTATCCGATGTTCATTACTTATAAGTTGTAGCAGACACAACGATTAAAGTCAGCGCGAATATTCAATGGTGATCCCGCAATATTTGTACAAATGTTGGCGCAAATTTATCTCTATGCGATACATCATACGTAATTTAATTTATTTAGTTACTGATGAGTATTAAAAAATTCGAAGCAAACCGAACGTAACATCTTTGTTTATTTTTTTTTTTTGTTTTTTCATTCATTTTCGCAGTATTGTCTTCATTTATTCAACACATTGTGGGTAACGTTAAAAGTCACTTATCTTATTACAGCAGTGTAACGCAATTTGTGGGTTAACAGATTTTTGCGGTTACATTTTTTCTTTTCATATTTTTGCAAGACATCAGTTATTATTTATGCTTTCTAAAATAATATTTTTATTAGAATTTCCAAAAATTATGAAAAAAAAAAGAACACAAATTTTTTTTCTTTACTTGTCCTCAAAACGCACATTTTGCGGCCTTAGCAGTGAGTTCTCTGACGAGTTCACATATAATTTGTTGTATATATGTGCGTGTGTAAACATTTATAAACATTCAAAAAAGCGAGAAAAAGGTGCCGTTGTAACTAACGTTTAAGCTAACAGTTGAATTTGTTAAATGAGAATTCTTAGCCATTGCTTGATAACGGCTTCTCTGCAATCACGTAAACACTTACTAACGAACTTCAATTAAAGAGGTCGAGGTTTATTTACAGCATATCTTTATCCCGAACACCGAAGGATGGGAATGAGCTAATATTGTTGACACGTTTGCGAAGCGAAGAAATGCAATCCGAAAGATTTCCCAAAAATAAATATGTCTATGATATTCGACTTATGCAGCTACTTCCGCACGTCCGCAAGTTTCTCTCACTGTCGCGGTCTGAGAAACAAAAGCGCAAAACTATAACCTGATATCTCAGGTTCGCAACTTGTTCTCACTTACAAGAAAAGGTATGGAAACAGATGTGAATAAGCGTTGAGAAAGTCCCAATCGTGTGTTGTTGTCAACAACTGACAAGCACTAATAGATATCAAGTTGAAATTGAACGTGAATATCTAATAATCCCCGATTCCACGATCAATCAGTTATCGTAATATCGCCAAGAAGTAAATGAGCATTTTGTCTGTGGCTATCACAATCTCAAAAATTAAGTCAGAAAAATTAAACCTTGACTTTATAAGTTTCACTTACCGCAAAAGGCATAGAAATAAGTGCGAATAAGCTTTGGGAAAAGCCGAGTATCGTGGCTAACAATCGTGGTTACAAGCGATAAAAGATATCAATATGAAATTTGACGCAAATATCGAACAAGTTCGGTAGCCCCAATCAATCAGTTAAGCTATCTACTATTAGTAAAAAAAATTTGCGATTACGAAAAAAATTTAAGACTCGCCTCTAGGGCTCATGTAATTTTATTAATGATTTTTTTTCAGTTCAATTGGATTTTCAAAAAAAAAAAACAAATAACAAAAAAACAAGAAACAAAAAAAAATTGAAAAATCTAATTGAAAGTACATAACCTTGAGTATATAACTTATAGTTAGGCTATGTATTCCACGTTAATTGTTTGGAATTTGTTAGAACAACACCGCTGCCAGCACCTCCTCCGCAATGCACACTTAGAAGACAGATTTTTAATAAAAAAAAAGGAAAATAAATAAAAAAAACATAAATTATATAAAACCTTCGAACGAACTTTACAAAATTACTAATTGAAGGCATACTCACGTTTTATATTCAACAATGAAGGTGAGAAGACCTCTCTACATATACTAATGTACATGAATACATTAGTTGTGTTAATGAATTCTGTCCCCTGAAATTGGCTGCGTCATGACGTTTTCAATTTTTCTAAAGTTCGGGATATACGTAATTTGAAGATTGGTGTTTGTGCGACAACTGAGTAGGAATATCCGGGTTTCCAACTGATATACAGAATGGTTGATCTGAGCCAATTCACGCCTAGGACTATCACTCAGGGTCCACTTTATGTCGCCTTGTAAGCAGGCCCCAAACGTTTTCATTTTTCTTGTTTTCGTTTAGTGCTCATGAGGTACACATTCCCTTCCTCCTGTATCTTTCCCATTACATACAATCGAATTGAAATTTTTGATTGACTGATTCTTAACTGTATAGCAAGCTCTTTCTGACTTTATGCTGGACTTTTGCTCAGTGAACTTTGAATTTCTTTATCCAAGACCTCTCGCAAAGTTGCAAAGCGTGCATCGTCCTCAAGAGTACAATTTTTGGAATGGAATTTCGCAAACCAACTGGCCTCAAATGAAGTTTATTCCAGTTAAGAAAAAAAAAACAACGTGCAATGCTTTAAGTGCTGCTAGTTGAGATCCATCTCTTCACGCTTTGAGATGCAGTGAACGAGAGCTTGTAAACAACTGAAGCCTACACCGTACAAACGCCAATGTCCATATTATTTATTCTCCAAATTTCAGAGCAATGTCATAAACATTTCACGAGCAACCAAATCCAAGGGACGAAATTAATAAACATACCTAATATATGTATGTATATATAGGAATATATGCATATGTAGGCATACAATCGATCATTGTGAAATACTCAAGCTATTTATTTGATCTAGTTGCTAGTTATTTGAACAAGGGGACCTCACGCCAAATATGCATATATATGTAATCAGTGTAAGCTATTTGACTAGACGGCATGGAACTTTCACTATCGGCATAATTTGTCATTGCGTGTCTATTTTCAGTTTTCAGAACAATTCTGTCTTAACTCTGTCATCCGCATGAGTGGCCGACAAGGCAAAGGAGCGTGACTAACAAGTTATTGATCGCGGATTCAAACATCAAGTGCGACGGAATTTTCAATCTTAGCTATCCGGCAGCTTCTAATGCCATGCTTTGTACGTTTATTTACAAAATGCACAGACAATAAGTAAATAAATAAAATATCTTACCGCGTTGCATTCCCGCGTCGGCACTGTATTCCTTGCACCAACTTTAAGGTTGATCTAAAGTCGGCATTATATTATATGAAATTATTAATCAAGGATTTAATAATAGGTACAACAAAAAAAAAAAATAAATAAAAATAAGGAAGGCAAACATTAAGCTCTAAACAATGATTTTTAACAAAGTTCCCTGTGGGGATCATTTAATAAGATGCAGATAATTTCCGAAATCCACCTGTTAAGGGGAAGAGGGAGAGAGTAAATGAAATTTTCTGACTCGTCAATGCACACATATCCTCTGATGCGTATTCTTGGTAGCAAAAATTAGCACCCCTTTGCAAGAGTGGCGGGGGCAGGGAGAACAATTGATCATTGAGGCCGGCTACCGTAATTAAATCGTCTCAATAACCTCAATGGATGGGTGGGTTTTGCAAATGAAATCACAAGATTACTATGTCACACAATACTTTGCAATACTTATGGTCAAAAATAATGATTTTATTAAAAGTTGGTGTTTTATTAGAGTTCGATCAGCCTTTAATAAAAGTTTCCCCAAGTTTTCGGAAAACTCGAATCTAATTTATAGATATTACCCTAATAAAACAAGATGGCATCCCATAAAACTAAAGCTCAACAGAAAGAGATCCATGTAGCTTTAGGTTCTCAAGTGCGTGATGGTGAATGCGTCTTCGGTGTTGCATGTTTTAATGATACGTTCGTGCATGTGACCGATTTGTCGGGCCCTGAAACCACAGATCGGTCCTGGAGCGCAGTCGTCGCTAAGAGTTTTAGCTCGTTCATCCATGAAAAAAGGCCGCATTAAAGACCTTATCCGACCATTCCGTCGGATTCAATTCGCAGAGAGGGGGGTCGTCGTCGTGGTGGCCGTTTGTAAGCAATGGCCTCTTGTAATGCAGGATTACCGGAATATGTACCATTGGTTTTGTCTTTTCACATAAGCGAAAAGCCAGTTTTTTTTAATAAGTGAACATGAGAATAAAAAAAAAATAAATAAATTGAAATGTTTGCTTTTAATTAATATTTGTTTCTTATTTACTTTTTAGTTATTTTAATATTCTTTTCTTTTTTTTTTTTATTTTGTTTTGTTTTTTTTTGCAGTTAATAACCGATTCTTATTGATCTTGCTGTTCTTGTTATCGTTGTTGTCATTATTGCTGTTGTTGTTGTTGTTGTTGTTATTGGTAGTGCCTTTGTATGTTATTATCAATGTATTAACAGAAAAGAAATATTCAAAAATTGTTAAAAATGGATATTTGGCGTATCTTTTTAATTCTATTAATCAAAGGTAAGCGTATAAATATACTTTTCGTTTTCCTTTTATTTATTATTAATTATTAATCATAATCATCATCATCATCATCATTGTTATTGTTGTATAATTAATTTTGCAGCCCATCTAAGTTTAACGAGTAATGATGAGGCTCCTTTGTTAACACAAACAATCTACGGATTTTTGGATTTTACTACTACAATCGGCAATACCGTTATGGTATTCTCTCCACAAAGTGCGCCACCGTTAGGTTAATATTGTGAAAAGAAAAAAGTTTTTTTTTTTTTTGTTTAAATAAAAAACTTTAATTTTTCAGTTTTAACGCCCGAGATTTTTACACCGAAACCTATTATAAAAACCAAACCTACGGATCCAAATCCTCCAGCTCCTGAATCGGACATTAATCCCACTAAGCTGAAAACAGAAAAGCCTAGCTTACCAGATAAAGAGAAACCCTCCTCGACAATTATAGATGTAAAAAGCAGTGTCACTGTTTTGGAGTTTTCGAAGCCCCTTGAACAATCGTCGTCGTCATCGCCACCATCATCATTACCACAATCATCATCACCACCGTCATCATCATCATCGTCGCCACCACCGTCATTGCCAACGTTATCATCATCATCGCCATCACCGCCACCATCGCCATCACCGCCATCGCCATCATCGTTGTCATCATCGTTATCATTGCCGTTATCATCATCGCTATCATCATTATCATTTTCTTCATCGTCAACATCAACATCATCATTGTCAGCATCATCTCCCATTGTAAGCGAAACGAAAAATTCTATTGTCACTGCCCAAGTAGTTGATACTTCACCCATACCGATAGAAAATGATTTATATGATCCTGAATACGATTTGCTTTCACGTCAGCCGCCACAATTTGTTGAAGAATCTTTCCGCGTTGTTAACCTACGGTCACCCAACAGTAAGAATACCAAATCAGCTGTTGTTGTTACGCCCGAGAAAAATACCGCTTCGAGCCTTGTCATTGCAAAAAGCTCTTCTACACGTTCACATCATAAGAATAAAAAGCATAAAGTAAGAGCTTCGAGCACCTTACAAGTTTTAAAGACTGCTGCACCGGCAATACATCATCCCAAATCCAGCGGCACGCTTAGTAACAAAATCAATCATCGTACATCCTCTAGTTCTATTAGTTCGAGCTCAAGAAAAAGCAATAAAAAAAATTCGCATAGAACAGCCAGTACTCCTGCGACTGCACCAGAAGAAGTAGTAACAGTACGTTCAACATCGAGTGTTAGGAGCAAACCGAAAAGGTAAAAAAAGAGGAAATTACTCATATGCTCTCATAATTATTTATACCTAAGTAAAACGCATTTCTGAGGACTACAATGCTCTCCATTTTTGGCAGATTCTTGTAATCGAGCTTCTCTCCACACTCTCCGCTTTTTTATTGTGGAATAAGAGCTTGTTCCGTTTACTTCTTTTGAGGTTATGTTGCGTCATTCTTTAAAATTTCTACAATACCTTTGATTTGTCTACTTGCCAATCGTGGCATACCATTCAGAATTCCCTTTGCATTATAGCAATCAAATGTCCCACACGCCAAAACACGCCGATCATATAAAAAGATTGAAGTCGAAGTATATGTTCTGTAATTTTCCAGGGAACCAACGCACTGCAAGAAATGTAAAGAACATTGTTTCTCAATGGATCAATTTTTACAAAAACTTGAGAAAATCATAGGTTTTGCATGTTAATCCAAAGTCATCTCGCTGTCAAACAAGATAATCGTAAGTTTCATTGTAAAATGCAGGTTTGACTCAGAGGTTCACCACAAAGGCAATTCGCCCTTCCTCCTTCGTCCCATTTAGTTAAGCTAGACTGAAACTAGTCAAATCAAATTTTATTATGCTCATAAAAGCATATGTAAATCTCTTGTCGACCACGACATTTAAGCGGGCCTTTTCCAGCGACCGTAGCTATGCACCCTTTCCACAGATAGTGCAGCGTTTATACGAAATAAAGTTCCTTGAGCAGTCCTGACGAAGAACCTTACATTAAATAACTCTAGCTAAGTATAGTTACACCACACTTCTGTGTTTTATTGCAGAAAAAATAAAAACAAAAGTAGTTCAAGCACATCCAAGCCAAAATATAGCATTTCTACAGTATCAGCTACTACAGCAGAACCTGCAGCACGACGTGCATTTAGGCCAAAAGTGCAAGCTCAAAATCCGGAGCTGGAGAGCAGTAACAATTTACATATTACAAAATTAAATCGTGCTCCGGGCAGGTGGCAATATAAGACGAGCCCGAAGCCGCGTGTTACTATACGTAAACCATCAATTGACATAAACGGTCCATTGGGTTTGGCCAACGTAACATCTTCGTCATTTACAACGGACGCCACAATAAACGATAATATCAATAATAATTTCATCATTAGCAATCAAACTGATTTGGAATCATCGGGCTCTCAGAATGGTGCCGTTGTCAACAATATCGACCAAGAGGTCGGTAATGGAGGAAAGCAGAAATTTTTTACAGAAACCATTAATGTCGAGATTTCAACTCCGGCTGATTTTAAAGATACCTACTATGAAATAGCGACCATTAAGAAGCCATTCATCTTCCAGGTAAGGCCATCTCTTAGTAATGACCACATAACGCTATCATAGTATTTTTTTAAATTTCACATTCTATAGGCCGGAATTTTGAAAAAAACGCGTTACATAACCGTTACATCGACTATAGAGAAATATTTAACTCCTGAGCCAACAATGGAACCACGCAATGACGATGAACCTTTAACGGAAAATATATTAATACTATCAACAAAACCCGATAGTTTGTTAAGTGGCAGCATCACCACTTTGCCCCCACTATTAATTGAAAGCGATTCCGATACTCCCGCTTTGGAGACGATCACGGAATCGTTTAGTATTGTTAATAAAAAATTAAGAACTCAAATATTACCTATTGTTAAGGCGATCGACAACGAAACTATTTATCACACTCTGATACAAACCATCGATATGACAAGTTTAATTACCGTGACTAAGACTCTCTCTCCGCAAATGGAGAGTAAGGCATTCAATGGCTTTAAGGACTTTGTCGATAACTTAGACGAAGCCGGATCCGAATTGAACTTAGATCTGGAATTTGGGGATGAGAGTAATCATGAAAACTCTAGCGGTGAATCGAATCCTAAAGATTTAGATCAACTCATGATCGTAAAACCTAATAAAACCAATGTTGTAATTACTACAACATCAATAGAAAAATTTCCAAGTATTTTAAATCCTACTTTACCCTTACCTACGGTTATTACTAATTCCAGGCCGGTAGTAAAATTAGAGACGTTATGGGAATCTTACGTAATACCAGTGACGAATGGACAGACAACTTCGTTTAGAACTCTTTCGAAAGCAAAAGGCGTGGTAGAAAAAACCGACTTTATATTGGATACTACAACCCTGTCAGCGCCGGCTATTTTGCCTCCTAGCACGATAAATCCATTCTTATTGCCTCTGCAACAACAACAATTTCAGACAATAACTTCACCAATAGTACAACAGACGATTGTGACACAAACGGAAAGTAAAATATTGAAATTGACTTTCGGTGCGAAAACTGCTTACACAACCTTATATTCGACACAAGTGGTGCCCACTTTGCAAACTATGTATGTAACTACATCAATACCAGTACAAGCATCGGCCAATCCATTCCCGGGCTTTTTTCCCCAACCCTACAATCCATTCGCCTATTTGGGTTAATCTACTAACATTTCTGTCATTGCCTACACTTTCATTTCCATCCTCGTTTAAGGTTCTTGCACTTTACAATTCTTCCGTCCGACAACTCTATTACGGTTGTAAAAACCCTTGTAAATTATATTGTACATTAAAACTATTGTTTTCTATGGTAAACTGTGCTAAGAACATTCATGTAAAATACTCAATATTCACAAACACATTTATTAAATTAATTATTAATAAATATTTAAGACAATTGGCTAAATTAGTTAACAACAAACAAAAAAAAAAAGAAAATACCTTTGTTTTCCATTTATTTTGGTATGTATTTCGAGAATTTCAACTCATGCCTGTTAACCAAACGACAAGCGTAAGTAAAAGTAATGAGTCTGGTTGCAATTGCTGAAGACAGGTCCATAATGAATTAAAGTGGTTATGCTGTAGCTAAGCGGCTAAGCGCTCTGCCTTTATAGCCCAATAGGATCGTGGTGGCAGCTTAGAGAGCAACGTTAAAACGATGACTAAAGTCACTACCGAAAGCCCCATCATTAAACTGCCAAAACCTCGTCATGTACCCGATTATCGCCCATTTTAGGAAGTGATTTATATGTGTATCCATTCAGCTACAAAAAAATTTCTCGTCTTGCACTTAAATACACTTAAGAAGATCAAATCTGTAGTCGCATAAGCCAATAGTTTGGAACGCGCATCTGCCATACAATTAGCTTCAAATTCGTGAGCTGGTATTAGTTTTTCCAATCCCTTTAAAAAAAAAAAAAAGGGTACATAGAACTCAGACGAAACTCGGACGTCCAGCTAAACGGTATTGAAATATAAATAGTTTACTTATTTATCGTCATCAAAACGATTTTCCACAGCAGAGCTCGTCAAGTACTTCATCCCATTAAACCGTGACAAACTGTCAAATAGTCCGCTACCAAGACTACGCTTGTTCTTCATAGTTTTGTTAAAGTATTCTTTTCGCCAAAACTGAAAATTGCCGAAAATAGGAAAAATTCTAGTTGGCAACATTGCCTCAAATCTGTTTTTGTGCGGTGGATAAGGACCGCGTATAAGACGCGCATAAAAAAATTGCACAAAATTTCACTAGTATAAGAAATAGTTTCCGCAACACCATTAAAAAGCATTATTTTATGCAGTGAATAGGGACCGCATAAAAAAAGTTTCACGTAGAAAATAACTCAAAACCTTGCGAAATAACTAGAAATTGAAATTTTCATTGAAAGTATTAAACCCGTCACGGCCGATGCCCCGTCAGTCCATAAAAAAAATTTCTTTTATAAAAACATTTATTCGCCTGTTCAAGCTCTCCAATGCTATAAGCGATACTTTTGATTAAAAGAATTTTTGTGCCATGCAATGAACTCACCCCAAGTAACCTACTTTTTCATTCTAAACGAATCGATTTTGCGGAGCGGACGAAATCATATATATTCCGGATATCACGTACACATAAAGTAACACATATGCCAAATTACACTTCTTTCTCTCTCTGTTCTCTTTAGTATGGCAATACTGTGACTAAAGACTTTTTCAAAAAGATTATTCGCCCTTCTCCTGTTTTTACTGCTAGTACTAGACCTGCCTGGAGAGTCTAACGTATTGGATGTATTATCGGTTTAGCGGCTGCTAGGCAATTCCGCAATGCCATCATCGTTCCCGCTTGCATTATCGATAAGTGTATTGCTATTCATATTTTTAGTTTGCCTATGTGTCTCAACAGCAGCAATTTTAGGCAAGGAATGAGTTTCTGTGATTTCAGATTGTCTTTTAGGAAGGTATCTTGTAATAGAGGAAATTCCACGTCCAAAGACACGTCAACATTGCGAATGGTGGCTGCCAACGAAGACCAGAAGTCGCACAAAGTCACAGTGCATGGGGGTGTGAACGTTCAAAAGTGGTGTAGCGACACCGTCTTCATATATTATGGTATTATTTTCCTGCTTTTATTTTGTATCCGGAGTACTTGCGTATAATTAACTAAGAAGGTATTTTCTGGACTCTTGAGAAATTCTCTTGTCAAAAGCACAACGAAATGTTTGCATCGATCTTCCAACGGAAGCCTCGTCCACAAATCGCGATGTTTGGTACAAAACTTGTATTGTTGATTGCAATCAGAATTATTTTATTTCAATTTTATTATTTATATCTTTTTCAGCAAACAAAACGAAAGCGGTGGCAAATTGTTTTGTGCCCGCACCACGTCATCCTTACTTAATATTTTTGAACTTGAAACAAAAGATCTACTGATTTTTTTTTTTTTTTGGGTGTAACCGAGTGATTCTCACTTAGAATTTCAGATCCTTGTTGTTGATAGGTCTGGCTACCCTCAACTAAATTTTCATATATGTCATAGTAAATATCCTAGTGATCAATCTTCTCAAGATAGATTCCTAAATGTAGCGAATGTAGCTGTGTTCGGATTATTACTGCACCACGATTGCAGCACGCCTTTTAGGGGGTCTTTTGAGCTTAAAATATTTTCTTCAAATTAATTTTTTTGCACGGCTAACACAGCCAACCGCCTCCAATCGCGCTTTTATCGTCCTTAAGAGCGAATTATTTTTTTAGTACTTAATGAATTTGAAATTCCTTGCTCTGTATTCTTGCTGAGAGCAGTAAGTGACATATCTTGAACAGCTCCCATTCCGCCTTCTATCAGCGATTTTAAAGAGCTAACGTTCATGGTATCGCGATGGCCTCCTACCATTTCATTAGTGACGATTGCTTTAGCCAAATTTATTTAGTTGAAAAGAAATGAAATGAAATTATTAGATAACCGTTATATTCACTAAATCTTCTGCCATTGATGGGGTGTATTCGTACATATATAAAATCTTATCATTTCGATGAACAAAAGGTAGTGAAACCTCTTTTTAAACAATATTAGTAAAAGTCGCCTTTAAACTGTCCACTTGAAATTATCCTTAACAACAAAGTAATAAAAGATTAAAAGTTCGAGCCTTGCTTAAATATTCAAAAGATTCGGGGGATTCAATCCTTATTTTACCAAGTGAAACTGTTACACAAAGGAAATAAAGTTTCGAGAAAAAAAAGTTATTTCGAAGTAAATGTAGGACATGTAGGAATATTTTTTTCCTATTTTTGAATTTTTCCCTTTGCTGGAAATAGTTGGAGCCAGGCACAAATTCTTAAGTTCGACGGTAGATATATTTTATGCCACATATTTCTCTGATTTAATGTACTGTCAATGCTTAACAAAATTTAAGTGATTATTGTTATTCTGTATTGTATTGTTAAGTGAATAACTAACTTTTTTTCGATATTATGTTCCTCTCCTGACCCCTGTTGATTTTGCACATGTGGGCATTAGGTGAAAACCTTCCTGGCAATATAAAGTGGCTTGATTAAATTTTAAAAAATGCGTTGTTCCCAATATATGTCATTTTTGCCATGAGGTAAGTTTTATGCCTTTGTCGACTAAACACCCACTATAGCTACAACCAAACTAAATTCGACCGCATTACCAGTTGAAACCGCGAACAGTGATTTGTTGGTCGTGGTTCTTACCTAATTGGCGGCTATTGCGGAAATTACACGGAAGAGGCAAATTGCCCTCCCAAGGGTGGAAGGGGGGAAAGTTGGATCGTAATCGCGTGCAATGTGGATTGTTGTTATATCAAAGATATTACGAGAGCTTATGAGAGCTTAAATTAGATCAAAATTAGATATCAAAAGTGAATGATTAGTTGAAAGCAAATTCAAATGGTTCAATAGAATCTAATGAAAATTTAAACTGGAGCTAATTACGTCAACAACTGTCAATGGTTGAATATCTAATTGCATATGATTTTTCTGTGTTTGGCAATAAACAAACACTAATATATATAAAAATAATTGATTGGGTAAAAATGAAAATCTGCTTCAGTCTTTCGCATAAGTGAGTGCGAAATTCCTACGTAAATTAAAGTGTAACAACAACAATTAATTATTGGAAGAAAGGCGTTTAAAACATCGTAAATTTACGCAATATATTTCTTTACCAGTTCAATGCACACAACATTGATGAGAAAACATTTTTATAGAGAGTATAGCAGAACTATATGAAAATCAATACCATAAACTAACCTAAATGCATAAGTTGCTCATTAAAACTTAAATGTACATTTCGTGAGAAGTTTATAATACGGATGTGACAAAAATTTGCGGCACTTTCGTTTGAATATCAAAAGAAAAAAGAATATATGTAGTTTTGTGTTAAAGCAAATTTTAGGATAGACGAGAATTTAATTCTTACATTCAATGTCTTCTTCTTCTTCTTCTTCTTAGACGATAGGCATTTAAAAACAATCGAGCCTGGTGGCTTTGCGAATATTTACTAAGCGAACTTGAGCAATGGAAACTATTTAATTTATTTGTTATAAATAAAAAAAATATAATGGTTTTAATTTCTTTAATACATTGCATAGTCGATAATGAAATTTTTGTTTTTCTAAGAATTTAATGGCGTTTAATTTCAATATGTTTGCGTGAAAATATACTAAAATTGCTGCCTTATAGTGATTTATGGATTCACGTTTTCCTTTTCAAAACTAACAATTTACATTTACAAAATTCTTCTTCTTTTTTTTGCCATTTTTAAAATTTAATTATATACTTACCCTAATTAACCGTCTTAATCCACTTCACCGATGTACATGTTGCGCGGTGTCGGTATATAACCTCGCGTAGGTAAAGGTAAACGATCATAAATGTGGTTATAAGGTGATTCCATAATATCGGCATCTGTATATAGTAAAAAATGTAAAATTAATAAAATATATGTCTACGTAAAAGTTATAATCGAGTCAGAATGATGTTTGTTAACTTTTTAAAGAATTTTTTTATGATGTCTTTTATTAAAGACTTGAGGAATTTCTATGCAATGATCTGCACCCTTCGGACTCGGTCGTCTAAAGTCCACAAAAAATGCGGAATGTGATAAATTTGTTAAGAGATTTTTTAATCTGTTAAGAGATTAGTTTAATCTGTAACTTATTTCGTTTAAAGGGCCAAGGAAGGGGGCTATAAAAAATAACGACATTAACCACACAATACATTTACTACATTATATATATATATATATATATGTATATACACGTATGTACGTGTGTATATGAAAAGGGATTAGATTAATTATAATTAAGTAAAATGAATGCCTTCTTGCAAGAGAAACAAACGTATATACAGTTTAGTATTGATGTTATATGTTTTTGTGTGTGTATGTGCTGCAAGTTTTGTAAAATTCATTGACATCAACAATTAAGCATAACCTCAGCAGAATCAAACATAGAAGCCGAAGAATGCGTTTATTTCATCGACCAGATCTTTGTGCTGGTTGTTGTTGTTGTTGTTGTTGTTGTTGTTGTTGTTGTTGGTGATAACGATGCCAACTTTCCATTTAATTGTGAATCTTTTTTTAGTATTATTGCTGATGGCGGCGATCCTGGTGGTGGAAACCTTGATGCCATGACATTTGACACTTTATCACTTTTACGTATTAACGTCTGTTTATTGGTAAGTAAATTGCAGTAATTAGGCATAGAAGTTAATCACACCAAGTTAGGATCATGTAACTCCCACGCGATATAATTAAAGTAAACCTTTATACAACAATTGTTGTTGAAAATAATTCCACAACAGTAAACTGGACTGGAAAAGCATACTTTTTGGATCTCAAGCCATATACGCATACTAATGGAACGTAAGCCGTTGTAATGCAACAAAGTATAATTGCATATAGATGAATAATAAAGAGCTCTTTGGCAGAAAAATTAACATTACTTAATTTAGACGGGCTCACTCTATGTTCTAGTCCTTCTCCCACACAAAGGTTTCCACATAAAGTACGCCGCCAAATCAAAATGATTCCAAGTATTTTATCGTTACATAAGATTCTGCTTATTATTATTATAATTTATTTATTCCAAAGACACGAACGCTTCAATATGAACGCTAAAAAAATTAAATTTCTTAATATCTTGGCATTTACGTAAAACTGAAATAAGAAAAAAACCAAAAAATTGTAAAATTATAAATTGATTTTATTTGAAAATAAAAATAATAAGTTGGTAAGTGAATTTATTTCGTTTATTGGTTAGCAACATCTTAGGGCATTTTATGGCCTTAGGATGTTTTGTGATTGGTCTTAGGATATTTTATGGTTTTAGGATATTTATGGCCTTAAGATTTCTGTTTTATATAAAAATTTCACAAATTTCGTCTTTTAATTTTTACGTTTTTTTAATATTCTTTCGTAATTATTCACTTCGTACAACTTGTTCGTGTACTTTTGAAATGGCTTTGTTGAAACTAATTGAATTGCATTGAGTTCAATTTTCGCTAAAACGGCTAAAAGCCGTTACACACAGCGCACAGAGTTGCTTTCAATAAATGCAAACCTCCCCGGCAATGATAAAATTCCTTCCAACCGTGATGAAAATCTCCCCGACCATAATAAAAATCTCCGCGACTATGATAAAACTCCTTTCGACCCTGATAAAAATGTCCCCGACCCACAAAGACCGCGATGGAAATGATAAATGGCTATCTCAATTTATTTCACTTGCATATTTATTTTTACCTTTTTTAAATTCTTCCATTTTTGATAATTACTCATAGCGTAAAAAAAGAGAATTTCATCGTTTACTCGCATCTCTCATTTTTATTTATTTTATAACTGTCCTCACGCCGTCCCCTAAAGACCGTGCAAAGAATTCCGCGAGGGGTTTGTAATGTTTTAAATCTGGATATCAAGCCTCTTCCTGGTTGACCTTAAAAGTGTTGATGCCACCGTAATGTCTTCATAAAGTTCGGGGGTTTCACTTGTTATGCATTTTTGGCAAACGGTATATTTTTCGATGGGCTTTTATGCGATAATATGTATTGCCTAAATTTCATCTTCATGTGATGTTAGCTAACTCGTTTCTAACTGAGGTAGAGGAAAAGTTATAGCCAAAACCAGACGATCTGGAGAAAATCAAAGATTTGACGGAGATTTTAAATGAAGAAGCTCTAAGTAAATTAGAGGCAGAGTGTGAGGTAGACGTTAGTACGCCTAGTACAACTGGAAGTCATAAGATGCTATTTGACCGATGTTGATATAAGAGCCAACAACAAGAAAAAAAGAAATGCCGCCGCATTTCGCCTCATCGTAAGGAATGAAGGTTCGCCACTTAATTAAAGCTCGCAACAGAGTAAAAGTAATTATAATATTGCACAGGTATATTTATATATTACTTATTTGTGTCTTCTATTTTAGATAAGGAAAAATGAGGTCCAACACTCCGCTCATCGCCTCATATAGATAAAGATTCGCTGTATGGCAAAGGTAAGTTTGCATATATCATTAGTTAATATTATGTACAATTTATTCACTTCTTTTTATTTCATTTTAGACTAAAAAACAAGCATACAACTCCACGCCTCCGCTCCAGCAGAATGGTGCTTCCATAGACTAATGGTAAGTTTGTAGTCATATTTATTTATAAAATTTAATATAACGCAGCCATGAACAATTGCAGGTTCAATGTCTAAAACATTATCAAACTACTACTACTTCTCAGGAAATCAAGGTATTCAAGATATATTTTCCAGTCCTCACCCGTGCTGGGAGGTTTGCCAATTCTTTACGCGGTTCTTCTTCAATGCAAATAGTTACACTCTGGAAAGAGGAAAACCTAGCTTTAAGACATTTTCTGGAATTTCCTAATTTGACCGGCTTATGGGATAGAGCAAGTTGAAGAATTCAAATTCAATTAAAGAATTTCAAATTTATTGGTTTCATATCGTTATATACCTACCGCCCGGGGTTTTATCATAGATTTCATTCACCAACTAAATGGGATTCGTTCTTTACAAAATATTTTACGTGTGAATTATTCTTCGTAAGTCGCAAAATTGCTACTTGGCTGTATAATGTCCTATTAGTTTCTTGTTTCAATATGTGTGAACAAAAATGTGAGTTAAGCGACATTCCGATATCACCAGATCAAATAAATTCTTTGTTTTCTTTATATAGCGTTCCTGTTGATTGTGCATGTCAATGCCAAGCCAAACGAAGTCAAGTACGAAAACATTAACAAATCAATTGAAAATTATTTCTTTTGGTTCTGTAGCCACTAACTTGGCACTCAGAGATAAGTACTCATGGTTAACTTTAATACATCTCTAGATAAAGAATAACTAAAATTCAAATGCACATTATAACCTTGATATCTGTATAGATGTATAGATGTTTCACCTACGCAGTTGCAAAGTACTGAGAGCCGACGCAGCCAGCAAAAGTGGCATCCTCTTAATCGCAAAATCTTCTATCGTGTATATGGAGCTTTAATTCAGAACAAACATTTCTTGAATGTTCTCGCAATCCGTACAAACGACAAATTTTTGCTGCAGATGTTGTGAGCTTTAGTACTAAATTAACCTAGTCTACTCGGCCTATGTGGCCAAGTAAGGTAAGCGTCTCGGCCGGCAACTCATTGGCCGTGGGTTCAAATCTCGAGTGCGGTCGTTTTTAAATTAACGCAATAGCCTCAGCTGCTAGTATTTTAACACTTTAGTCACTTTAGAAGTCATTCTTGGGTTAAGTTAATAATAAGAATAATAATAAATTGATTTTTATAATTCAGTTGGTTACATGCAAGCACCTATTATGTATAAAAATAAGAGTTATATATATGCACAGGTACTTCAAAACTTGCTAACTAATATACTAAATGGTTAGGCGTACTTGATGATTATCGAGAGTTGACCGTTATGATGACATTGGATCACGCAGAGTGTAGTAATGTTATTTTGTGGGTATTGATCCTGTTCTTCTACCAGCGGCAATTGCGCATTTTGAAAAAGTTCACTGCAATCATTTATTCATTAAAACGTTTAAATTTTTGAATAAAATTTAACTGAAAATCCGTATTTTTCTCATGTTTGAATTCCGTACACACGTTGGTTGCATTTTAGCGATTTCTACCAAAGCGAAACATTTTAATCGGTTTCTTTTACAAATTTTGTTTCAAATGCTTTTAAACCGAAAATTTCTTGAAGATGAAGTGGAAGCAAACACCGTAATGTTATAGTTTTGTTCAGCAATTTTTTATTTTTATATTTTATACAAATTATTGAGCACATATACGCTTCTTCTTTAAAACGCCTATAGACTATACAAACACATGTTCAATTATTGGGAAGTGTAAACAACCTATACGCTTACTCTCACACGTTTGGAGTGCCCGCTTGCCTTCTGCCAAATGCAAACATAAAGACGCGGAGTTCAGCGTTCATATTAACTTGCAAAAATATATTTGTATACCTGTAGCCGTATACTGTAGCTGCAATACCTTGATATGTTTTAATTTTTTTTATAATTTTTTTTTTAAATTTCATTAATAAAATAAACAAAAAGATATGCATCCATTCTCCATATCTGAGTTTTTAATAAAAAATTCCACACAGCAGGGCGAAACACGTGCCGTAGAAACATAAACAAAAACAGAAAAAGAAACGTAAACAAAATAAAAATGTTGCGGGGGGAATCTTTCCGAGCTTTCGTTTATTTCCATCGAAATACCACCAGCTTTTCTTTAGATTCATCGAAATCCCACCAGTTTTTGATTACATTCATAGAACAAGTTGCAGTTTTTGTTTAAATACGCATCGTTTCTTGCACATGCAAATGGTTGGAAGGAATCTAAATGATTTTATTGAAGCTTTTTTTTTAAAAGTAACTTTCTGTCTAATAGATCGGGAAGCCGGAACGCATAACTCATAGTACTGAGCGTTTTTTAACAAACAAACCTTTTCCTTGCGTTTCAATCGATTTTCGAAAAATATTTCAATTTATTTTCATATATATATATAAACTTGGGCACAGATCGGGCATTCGCTATTTAATAAGTTGTGTCAGTAGCGTAGACAGTACTGCCTTTCTGCAGGCTTTAGTGGAAGCTGATACATTCCGATATATTCCATGCAGTTATTTTTGAAAATATGGGCTAAACATACGCAAATCGTCAAATACGGTAATAAGAGTTCAGTTAGCGTAGACGCTCGATATGTGCACTAATGCTTGTACTTGTTTAGCTGCTTACACAGTTCCAGCAGATTAATGTTTGTTGTTTCTTTTACGCTTTGCATAAAATCAAGAGTGGCAGCCGAACGAAACGCCACATTATCAGTCAAAAGTTGACGATCCTTCTCACCTACACCCAAATTTTCAAGACAGACACCTCCCCCGATTGGAACAATTTTCTCGAAGCGTTGTCGAATCCTCGTTCCTCTTTGAGATGCCCAAAGGCGGAATTCTGCTTTAATTTTTCTAAACGTTCCTGCACCAATTTGCCCTTTTTCGAGCGTACTAATATGTAAACAGTGGCAATCTGCGGTAATCGCATAGCCATTTTTCTATTAGAAAAGACAAATTTTTTTTCCCTTGAACTCCTTCACCGGCGATATGCAACTGACAAAAACTGAAATGAGTGAGACGCAGATATTGGTAACGACACCGGAGAAATGGGATGTGGTAACAAGGAAATGTCAGTTTACAATTTTTATAAAGGATATAAATAATAATATCAAGTAGTCTTTTAGGAGCTGGCGAGGTGTCGCTTATTAGCTTAGTAAAATTGTTAATTATAGATGAAGTGCATCTGTAGCATGGCGAACGCGGACCCGTAGCGGAGGCGTTAGTGACAAATACTATACGTTTTGTAGAATCTTCTCAAAGTATGATATGTATAATGGGTCTCTCGTCCACTTTGCCGAACTACATCGATGTGGCTAATTTCCTCCAAGTGAATCCCATGAAGGGTTTTTTCTATTTTGATAGACGTTTTCGCCCTGTACCCTTAGATACCAGTTTTATTGGTATCAAAGCCATTAAGCCTTTACAACGGCTAAGCGATAGGGATCAATTTTGCTATCAGAAATGTATTGAACAACTGCAAGACGGTCATCAGGTAATGGTGTTTGTCCATGCCCGTAATGCTACAGTACGCACAGCTAGTACACTAAGTGAATTGGCGCAGCAGAATAACACGTGTGCCCTCTTTTATCTTTCCGGGTATCGATATCTACGATTCCAAACATGGCACATTTGTGGATCTTGGTATTCTGGACGCACGATAAACTTAACCATTACTTATCTTTGCTCACGAATCAATTTCCCATTGAATCAAAGTTCATTCAATGCTTGGCCAATAATCTTAATGCCGAGATAGTTTTGGGGACCATTACAAATGTTGAAGAAGCCATAGTGTGGTTGAGTTATACCTATCTGTTTGTGCGCATGCGTATCAATCCTCACGTTTACGGAATCGATAATATGCTGAGATTATGCAAGATCCCTCTTTAGAACGTAAGCGAAGAGCCTTAATTGTAGGTGCTGCCATGAGTTTGGATAAAGCGTGTATGATACGTTTCAATCAGCGAACTCTCGATTTTAATGTCACAGATTTGGGTCGCACTGCTTCGCATTATTATATAAAGTACGATACGGTCGAAATATTTAATGAACTTATAAAACCGTTTATGAACGAAGGTGATATATTTGTAATGATGTCGCAAGCCCAAGAGTTCCAGGAGCTCAAAGTACGCGATGATGAACTGGAAGAATTGGACGAATTAAAGCGCAATTATTGAAAAGTGAAAGTATTTGGCGGTAAAGATTTTACCAAGTAAAAATTCAGTTTTCATAGGCACCATTACAAGAGAGGGGGTTCAATTCAAATTGTTCCAGCCGAACCATACTTTTTCGTACCAGTACCACCAACGTCGAACTATTCTTCAAGTTTTATCGACACCTTGAAATTCCAAATTTTAATTTTTTTCCATATAACAAATTTTTAAAATAAGGCTGTGCGTGCCCACTTTTCAAAAAAGGTTTCGCATGGCAAGTGATCAAAAGATCACCGACCCGAGGAATTTTCAATAGCATTCGTCCTTGAATCAAAACACATCAGTGTACCAAATTCCTTCAAAATACTTTAAAAATTGCGACTTGAAGTTTGAGTACAAGAAAACAAGGCGGACGGACTCGAAAAGCGATTACGAAACGAGCGCTATGATAAAAAGTGAGCCTATCTCGGGGTCTTTCTTGAACTCACACTGCACCAGATACAATTTTTTTTTATCTGGAAAAATATTCCATTTACTCGCCCTCTCATTCCTAGCTTTACGAAGATTCTAAAACTTTAGAGGATTTCCCGAAACGCTGCAAACAATGACGATTTTGAACTTTCGGTTGTTATGGGGTTTCGAATTATGACAATCAAAGTTTTTTGTACCCATCTCCGAAGGCTGGAGGATGTATTCATTTTGCAAAAACAAATTTATTGTTACGTAATTCCCTTTTCTCGGATACAGTTCGTATCACTAGATCGTGGATATTCTTTTTAAGAGAAACACTCTAGCACAAGACCCTTTTATTTGCAATCTTGACAGCTATAATATCCTTTTTCGACTCAAACGTTCTTGTCCGACTCACTCTGCCTTCCACAAATTGTCTATTTATATACACTTTTACAAACATATTATTATTACCTAAGTTCATGGCTTCAATTTTAATTCGTTAACCTAGATTTCCAATCTAATCGTTTTCCTCGGCCGGCAGGTGCATGACGCGCCGCGAATGTGTAGTTAAGTTTTCCCTTTCTAGAGAATTTATTATTTGGGAAAATCAATTAGTTGGCATGAACTGGATTTGCGATCTCCGTACCAATATGTTTGTTCTACGGCCTAGTATCTGCCCGCTACCTACTACCGTAGTGTATAAAAATTTATTCGATACTCGCTAACGCGCAGAAGCAAATTTCAAAAGCTCCATTAAGTATTTAAATCCTTGGCCAGTTTCAAATTCGGAATGGACTTAAGTATGTTCATCTATCTATTTATCTGCCTAACTGTACCGTGTCTGCGGTAAACATTCTCCGGTTAGCGAAACTGAATATATCGGCTGGGAATTTGTGGAAGAAGTAGAAATGATCCAAATTAGTTGAAAGGCACAACTATAACACACGTCTACGCAATAAAAAACTGATAACATCTTTGCTTTCCATGTTTTTTGCTTATTGCTCATATGCAACAAAAGATCCACGATATAAATTTCAACTTGTATTTTAAAAAATGGAAAAGTCACCCACGCCCATCCAGTATTAACGAGAATGAAAATCTGATTTTTCTGCTTTCTTTGCAGTCCTTTTTTATGATAACGATGATGGATATAAAATATTCAATCATGACCGCACATAAGTTTCTTGCTTATTAACTTTTATCGCATTCTTTATCATTTTAGTTCACTAGCTTTGCTACCAAAAATAAGCTCGATATTTGCTTATCGCATGAACAAAAGTGCAAAAATTTCGAATGCGTTTAAGGGAAAATAAATGCTGAACGAATATGTGTAAAAATTAATACCAAATATTCAAAAATATGCGAAAATCGAACGGCAGGTCTCTAAAAATTTACAAAAACTAGTCAGAATGTGTTTAAGGTAAAATAAATGTTGTTTTTTCATACAATTAAATAAAAGATTTCAAATTTATTCAAATCACAGGTATGAGTTGTCTGTTTTTTGTTTTTTGTTTTCTTTCTTTTTTTTGCTTTCTTTGTTCTGTACTCATTTACATTACATTCAAAGCATGTAATGATGAAGAAGAACAACAAAATTAATAACGGATTTATAGTTTTCTGCTACAAGTTTCATACAGTGTCAGCAATGGGTGATAATAATAAATAGGTGTATAATAAATCGATTTAACTTACTATCGAGTTTGTGCTCAACAATCCCTAAAGCCCTAAAAACCACTTTCAACACCTTCTACAGCCTGAAAGAAGACACCAACGGAATCTCAAAGAAACTTATATAAATCTCACATGGGTCTCCTTCCAAAAATATTACCAAAAAATTTCTATAAATCTACTTACACGTAATTTCTTCAATTTATGATTTTTTCAACTGGGTAAAACTTCTTAATCTTTTTATACCTTCTCTCTGCTTTTCTACGTATTTTATTTAATTTATTTAATTTAGTTATTTACTCTTATGGTGTTTAACATTTGGATGTATAGTATGTCCCACTAAAGTACGAGCGTCATATTCAGGTTAGATCACTTGTTCAACTACTTCTCATATATACACTCATATGCACTTCTCTATAAGACTGTATTAAGTTTATTTATTTATTTATTGTATTTTCAATTAGATTTATAATTTTTAACATAATAAATCACTATACCTTTAACCCAACTACACCTAAATCCAGGAAAAAAAATCGGTGTACTCGTATGGCAGTCTCACATTTAACAATTCAGCAATGCATCAAAATAAATTGAAAAACTACTATGGACGAAATGGAGAAAATGGAAAAAATAAAGGTCTCCTAAACAAAAACTTTTACATTAAATATATATATATTTAATTACAAAATTCATTTGCAAGTCAATTATGAATTTGAAGCTGAAAATGAAAATGAAAGTGTGATAAAAATTGTACTTTATTTAGCAAAGCACACAATAAACTAACACAACACAGAAATAATAGTTTTTAATATTAATTTTAATTTTTTTGTATTTTTTGTTTAATATTTTTGTTTAATTGATGTTCTTTTCTATAATATTTTGGTAGAATCACTCCTCTTATTAAAAAATTTTTCTCTGCCTGTTTCTTTTACACCAAAATAAAGCAATAAGAGAAACAAAGTCATACGATTCTACGCCAGAAACAGAAAGTAAGTGGCTCGGTATAGGCTTTTCTTAACAAGTCTAACTTTGTACGATATCGAGGAAGACGACACGTACAACGTAAATCAAAAAAAGTTGTTTTTAAAATTTGTGAAAAGACAATATTTAAGTTAATCCAAAATTTTTTAGCTCTAGTACCATCTAATCAGTGTAAATAAGTGGGATGAGTGAAAATCGGGATGAAGATGACGATGACTTATTTGCCTCCATAAGCAAGGAAGAAATCTTAGATCAAAACGAGTAGATAATTAATTCTCCCAATATATCTAAGTTCCAAGAAAATAAGCAGGTAATCCAAGTTATGGCATTGATATTCCTCACACTTTTTTGATGCTAATTTTTATAATTTTTTTTTATTTCTGCAGGTTTTCAAACAGCGAATGGTAAAAAAATTTCCATATCGGAAGAGAGCAAAACATCCATATAAAATATTCTAAGAGAATTTCAAGATGATTTTGCAGGAAACGGATTATGAAACTGAATTAAAAGATATAAAGGCTCGGATATCGAATAAAAGTATGGAATCCAAGTTTAGAACAACCGCAACCAGAAAAAGACTAATGGATCTTAATGATGAATCCAACCAAACTGGGCATTCGACTTTAAATGTCCCAAAATTTCGTAAAAAGCACTTGTTGTCAATAAATCCAAAATTTAATTTTAAATAACCCATCGTCTAATTGGAGCTTATAGCAACAAACAGTTTTTCAACCGATTTTTCATTGGGAAAATCAAACTTCTTTCTGTTGTTGTATATTAATTTATATAATTTATATTTAAATATAAATAGCTTTATTTACTTAATAGCTTCATTATACATTTAAAATACTTTATTAATATATATAAAAATATATATAAAAGAAATTGTTATTCCTTTTAATGGTGGCGAAGGAAACAAAGATGGCAGATTTTCGCCTGGACGTATATTATTGCTGAAAATGAAAAACTTTCTTTAGTGCTTTATAAATTATATAAATTAATATACAACAACAGGAAAGAGTTCGATTTTCCCAATTCATCTCGACTCACTTTACTTTTCACTTCTTCCCATTCGTTTTCAATAAAAATTTCACTCAGGCCAAATGCGTTTTTACCTACTCCCAACTCCGTTCTCCGCTAGCTTTTTGAAGTCCTAATGCAACATTAGTTTCTCTCAGCACCAAGCTGTTGGAGTACCCACTAATATTGTCTCTTTGGTTACCTTTAAAGCCAATCAAAATAATAATAAAATAATAAACATAATAAAATGTGAGGAATATCAATGCCATACCCTGTGTTATCTGCTTATATACTGGGAACTTAGACGTGTGGGGAAAATTATTATTGATCTTCACGTCTTGATGTAGGATTTCTTGAGTGCTTATGGAAGCAATAATGTCATCACCATCGTCATCCCAATCATAATTGTTATTTAAAGCTGAAAAATTTTGGATTAACTTAAATATTGTCTTTTCACAAATTTTAAAAACAACTTACTTTCATTCTGCTTCTTTATGAAATGCCAATCGAGATCGGCGTGAAGCAGTCCCTATCTATGATATTAGGCGGATGGAGCGCCTTTGAGCTTTTAGCGGATTAATACGCTTGTTGAATTGCTTTTAGACAATTGACTTTATTCAATTCTTACCGGGCTATATTTATGCACAATTTACTACACTAAATTATGCTAACATCATCAAAATGATAAATGCTTTAAATGGAGCGCCTGGCATCGTATTGCATTACGAAATGCAATACTCGGTGAAGTTGTAAGGAAGCGTTTTGCTTCCGTCCAAATACTGGCCAAAAACAGTCGGTCTGGGTTGTCCATCCGCACTAGAGAGGGAATATCCCTTAAAGATCTCCTCTCTACGGCAGCACAGATCAGCCGTCTCCCGCCCGCATCGTGCAAGCCAATGTTTATAAGACCACGTAAGAAGAGAAATTATATATGGCACTTACTAAATAATATAGCTTCAGAGAATGTACCTAGCTAGGAAATGTATACAAATGTGTGAACCGCACAAAAATGTACAAAACTTCGTAGTATATAGGAATCAAATGCATGAACTCTCTAAAATGTACACAAATGTACAAACTCTGTAGAATATATGAATCCAATGTAAAAACTCCCTAAAAGGAACACAAATGTACAAACGTTGTAAAATAGAAGGTTATGACTTCCATAGGGTATGACTTCCCATTGGATGTTCTCGCACGCAGTTTGATATTGAAAATTACCCAGTCAAAGGTCAGGCCTGCAACACTCGCACGCTTATACAACAAAAACTCTGAGCAACTTTATTTTGCGTATCCATTGCTTGTTATTCATAAAGAACCGCACCTTCACCATTTAAATTTCCACTTTTATTCTGAAAATAAAAAGACCCAACCGCCTATCCCCACCAACCATATATACATACATATATATATATACATATATAGCAACATAGGGCCTCGAGCGTCTTTTAAATTGTATTGGACATTAAAATTATGGTTTTTTATAGTAAACTATGTTCAGAAAGCTCGGCAATATCCGCATATTAAATTAATTATGAATAAATATTTGAGTCAATTGACTAAATTAATTACAACCATACGACAGAAACATAAGATAACTTTCATTTATTTCGGTATGTATTTCAAGAATTTCAATTCGTGACTTAGCCAAACGGCAAACGTTAATAAAAGCAGTGAACCTGATTGATGAGCAGCAGCTAAAGACACAGGTACGTGATGAATTAACGTGCTTATGCCCAAAGTCACCTGAAGCCAAGCAACTAAAGCCGCTGCATTTATGGCCCAATACGATCGTGGTGGCAGCATGGTTCGTTTGGAAAACATCCAAACAACAGTGATCAAAGTCACTGTAGAAATACCTAAAATCCGATGATTAAATTGAACTGTGGTAGGATTTTCGGTAAAATTCTTAATAATTGGCTTAAATGCTAAGATATCGTTAGGTATCCAGTTATCTCCCATTTTAGGAAATGAGTTGTGTACCAAGCCAGCATCTAAACCAGCCACAAAAGCTCCAGAAAATGCAGTTAGAAATATTAAACCTTTAGCCGCAAAAGCCAATCGTTTAAAACGCAAAGCTTTCATACAATTAGCTTGAAATTCTTGAGCTGGCACTAGTTTTTTCAATCCCTGCGATAGAAAGAGTGTATATAGAGCGAAGGCGAGACCCAAATGCGCAGCCAAGCGGTGTTGAGATACACGCGGTACATCGTTTACATTTTCGAAACGATTTTCCAAACCAGATTTCACCATATACCAGCCCATTAAGCCTTGGCAGCCTATCAAGCAACCCATTAACAATACAATGTTCTTTGTAGTTTTGTTAAAATAGCCCTTCCTCCAAAAATAGGTTGCCGGTATTAGGAAAAATGCACCAATAGCTCTACCCCACATTCGATGTATATATTCCATCCAAAAAATCATTTTAAATTCTTCCAAAGTCATATTTTGGTTCTTCCTAAAAAATAAAATAATTCCTCCAAGCAATATTTACATTTTGAATTGAAAAAAATAATTTACAAACATTTTAAATTCCGGATATTGTTGATAAAGACGAAATTCTTTCTCCCATTCTTCGGCGGTGCGCGGCATTTTTTCTCCGGTTAATTTCCAAGTAACCATCGAAAGACCGGATTCTGTTAAGCGTGTCACTCCTCCCAAAACAACGGCTAAATAAACCATGCCCCCGCATCCCAAAAACCATTTACCGACATTTCGTTGACTTTTCAAATTCTCCTGTGGAAAACGCGTGCAGAAGCGTGAAGGTCTAATTGGCCAATGGTTTGGTTTCAGTAGTGGCTATAACAAAAGTGAACTTCGCTCAATCTCTACTCCTCCCTAAACAATATTACCTTATAGATCGATTGATTTATTAAACTTCTCCGAAGTAATGTAGGAACAAATGGAACAATTCTTACAAACCGATTCATTTTGTTTACTTTTTGTTAACTTTTTTCAGCGCTTTATAACATAAAGCGCTATAAATTATAATAAAAGTGATATCTTCTCGATAGTTTCGTAGTTTTTAAGCGCTTTAAACGTTAATTTTTTTTAAATCGCAATCCATATCTTCGAAGTTTCTACAAAATTTTGTTGAAAATAAAACTCGTCTCTTTTTATATTATGTCATAAGACACTCACGGCTTTAGTAATATACTTTTTCTTGCCTCTTTTTTGTCAATTTCGTCTACAATTTCGTAATAGATAGAAGCGGTTGTTTAAAACAGGCCGCACTTAGGTGGATTTCTGAAATAAGAGAAAAAGGAAAATATCTTAAGACATTAACAGTGATTGGCAGCAGTAAGTGGCAGCTAATATGCCGAATAACAAGAAAATATCTGGAAAAATAAGTAAAGTGCATAGCTGCAGAGATGAAGAGAGCACTTTTTTTGGTTAATTGAAAGATGTGATTGCAGATACTCAGGCAGTTACAATTGTTTTTAGAATAAGTCTATGTGATGGTGGACTTGAAATATATATACTTTGGTAAATCTTTTATTTAGCTTAACTTTCATGTAACCATTTCTTTATCCGGTTAAGTTACGTCTCATTTTATTTTTATGCGGTTTTTTTTATCCTATTTTACTTTTTCTCTCTTTATTTAAAAAATTCTTCCCTTATTCAATTTTTTCCGCCTTACAAAATATATGTATAAAATATATGCATATAAGACAAGCTGCTTTTTCCTGTTTCAAGCGTTTTATTCGATTCATCTCTTATCGTATAATATAAATAAACACAAGTAAAAAAATCACTGACAGTAAATATATATATATATATTAGGTAATATATATAGTATTCAGAATTTGGGGTAAATCAAACCTCAAATCTTCATTAGCGAATACAAAAAATATATTGAAAACGAGTACAAAAACTGTCTTAAAAACGAACACAAAAATCATGTTAATAACGAATACAAAAGATGTGTTACAAAGGCATGCAGATATATAAAAGTACAATTTAATATCGGAAAATTGCACAATTAATCGCAAGTATCTTTAAATGATATTTTCGTGAGGCATTCATGAACAAAACAATGATTTTTATGCAGATGGAACGAAATCATATTGTTAATATTTGAAGTAGCGTATGATTTTAAAAGACTACGGAGATATCCAGTATTATTAATTGCTGCTGCAATTAATTATAAGTATTATAAAATTGATAACTGTTAACTCAGCAAAAGCTATTAAAACTGTCTTCTGCTTTTTTAGTTGAAGATTTTCTTTATAGAAAATCTAGTCATATGGTTAGTTTTTCAAACCATATGAATAAGCAGATGTTCCTTGCTTACTTCAAATACTACTTTTTCGTTAAGTACTTATTACGGATTTGAAACCCTATTTGCAAGGATAATTTTTTTTCCTTGCTTTGCAGCATTTCTTTTGGTGGACATATAAGCCATTCTTATTGGCTTAGTCAAAAAACAACTTTCGCTCTAAAAAAAAAGAAAAACGCAACATTCAGCATTTCAATTAATTTGCTTCTAATTGTGAATAAACAATTAATTGAGTTACATGCAAAGTCTAAAAATTACTGAAGAACACATTGGCGCCTTTTTGCGAAATAACATATATCGACGGCTGGATTTGAAAGGGTTAGCTGGTATTAATGGTTGCTCCAAACAAATGAAGCCATTCTTAAGGAATACTAGAAAGAATATTAGATTTATATGCAAACATAATTAAGACGTGGATTTTTTATTCATCGTATAACAATCAATACACCAAAGGCCAACATATCTATAAATTAATACATAATAATGTAGTCTAGTAATAAACCATCCATACCATCCATCCATAGTTTGCAATAAGTTTTTGTTTTGGCTTGTTGAGTGGAGATGGACTAAGCCAATAGATTTGTGGCTTATATGTCCAGATAATAAACTGTCGTAATTTTAGGTCAGAAGTATATATAGAACGCGACAAACAAATTTTAACCAATAAATTCGCTTTCCTATTAAACCAAGTTAATTTCACGAGATGACGTACATTTTTTCCTGCAAAGAGATCGAGAAGACCATTACATAACTTGAAGAAGCTAAAAGAAGTCAAGCCTGTGACATCTGAAGAATAGATGATCAGCAGACTCGGCCACATTGCAAACTTCACAAACATCGAATGGTATAGCCGGAATAATTTTTAAATAAATTATGAGTCTATAAAGAATTTTGATTTCGCCAGAATTAAAAAAGCCACAGAAAAGGATTTGAATTGAAATGTTGGATTTATTTTATAGAAAAGGCGATTGGATTTAAAACGCGCAATCTTATTAAATTCGTCATTTAGCTGTTGGAGGATGTGGTTGCGAATTACCCGAATTGCTTCATTGGGAGTGTATTTGATGGACAAAATTGTCCCATCAATACTTTGATTCGACGTACTATTTTAGATAGATGTTTCACAACTGAGAAGCCAGACACATTATGTCCGACGGAACCGTCGGTGGCATATGCATCATACTTTTTCCTTTTTTTATCATAGCCGTTGTTGTAATAAAGAAGGAGCTTTTCTTGGCATAACGTCGTCGTACAAGAGAAACTGACATTTTGGTTTGAAGTAGAAATCGATTGGAGAATGTTCATGAAGAGTTTACATATGTTGGTAATAAAATTCCTGAGAGGAATTGAATCTATCTTATCAAAAATATGACGAAGTTTTTGATAGCGAAAAGTGTAGCTCCGAGGGACAGCATCACTGAGAGATATAATTTCCTGAAAAAGGGAAGGATTCATCATCTTGATCTTAATCAACTCCTTGAGAATGCAAAAAAGAGCTCTTTCGGAAACGGCTAGAATCACATTTTATTCCCCATCAAGAAAGTCACGTAATCTCTGAATCGCATCGCGAAAACTTTGTACATCGAAACTGCGTGGAAACTAGCATGATGCTATAAAAAGATTCGGTTCAAGATTCATGGTTTTGATGATGATAATGTCAACAGCAGGGTTGTAGAAAATACGTATGAAATTGACGTATTAATATACTGACGCCATCGTAGCCGTCATATCGGGATTTGGTGGCTGAAGCATAATTCGAAACTTTAACTTCTAACTTTTCATCCTTCAGAAAAACTTCCCTTAAGATGCAGAAATCAACTTTATTTGAGTTCAAGTAAAAATCCCAAAAAGGACAGGTGCCGTCGAACACTTTGGATATTGTAGTGTAAAAAGATCATATTTAAATTTCAGAAGGAACCCCGGCGGATCTACTCGTAATGCTGGGTGCTTGATCGAGACAGACATTTGCTCTTCAAATTCTTCAAATAAGATTATGAGGCATCATCAGACGGATACTTTCTTCAATCGCAGAGTTCAAGTTCTGAGGAACCCAAATAGTTGTTTGAAATTACTTAGCGCCGAAGTCTTGTGACAGACAGCTTGTGGGGTGAATTGAGACAAGGTTTGGTGGATGAACTGAGAGGAAATTTGGAAAAACCCGATTTGCTTTTGACGACGTCATTAAATTTATTCTTAGTAAATCTTTATTGGCATTTCCATTGTCGTCCTTACTTCAGCGAACTTGATCGGAATATCGGACACGGCGTTTTTAATTATCTCTTCTCTCCGAATCCCTCAGTGAACGACCTCGACATGTATGCCTTTAAATACTACAAAGTTCTTGGCATTGGCAGCAGAGCTGAAAACCAATTTGGCTCTGCCCCTGCTAACCATTTTTAGTTCTTTTAAGCCCTACATGGTGAAGTCCTTCAGGCAATCGTAAAAAAAGAGATCAGAGTTGATATGCACGCGATTCCCTTCAGCGTTTGCGTACGTTGTGACAAAAATTATGAAGTTGCCCTTCGACAAGCAGTACAAATTGATCTCGTGATTTGGAGTGGTTTTGGCACCCACATCAGAGCCCTTGTCGACCGCGTGTTGACTAGGCACAATTGAAACATTTGCGTTAGCTTCTCCATTGGGACATAAAACAATTTTATTCTTGCCCATCCGTGATCTCTTCGAAACCGTCTCTATTAGTAGTTATCAGGTCAGTCCCAATCTCCATAGGAAGACGGACTGATGTTGTTTTGGCTGTTGTCACGGGGAACACCAACCAAAAATCCAAACGAATAAAAATTTAATATATGAACACAAAAATTGTCCAGCTGCCGTTTGCCGAGATGACGTCTTGTATCAAGTGTGAATGAAATGTGAACGTTTTCAATAAGTAAGTTAACTATAAGTGCTTTGCAGTATTTTAATTGATGAGCAACAGCTGTTTGACATTTGGTATATATTTTTTTGGTGTTGCCATACTAATTTGGTTTTAGTTTTAACAGAAAGCCAGCAATTTTTTACGGAAAACCAATCGTCCTTAACAGAAGTGTACTTATCAACGTTGTGCTTTATCAAAACACAAGAAATCTGTTTTTTACATGGACATAAGTAAGAAAAAGGTTGTAATTTCTTTTTATATTAGGTAAATATTGACACAACTTATGTAGGTACTAACTTACCAAGGTTCCTGAATTTCCATGCCTACAGCATGCAGCCTCCAAGCTGGTTTCTTATTTAAAATTCATAATTTATTCTCGTTTTTTTTTTTCTTTTCCTGCATTATTTACATTTTACATTTATTTCATAATTTAATGAATTGAACAATAAATCTGAATAAAAAATGTGTTATTGTCAAAATACATATTTTTTGTAATCGTAACTTTTTCCTAAACAAGTGCATCTTCGTAATTAATTTTTCAGTATATTTAGGCTTTTCAAATATTTTTGTGTCCCACCATTGAAAAATACGTATGCATGTATGGTATATACGGCGTTACAATCCACAAATATATGCCAGATGTAGAAACAAATTCAATAGAGATCGTCTGTCTATCCGGCCTACCACTGCTTACCAATGTTACAAAAATTAAGACAATAAGTCGAACTTACGTCCACATATTTTTAGTAGAGGGCTGCAGCCTCGAATGTGCGATTCAACCATAAATGGATGCACTATGAGGATGGAGCTGAAATTTACGATATTAGGTTTGACGCTAATATTTACCAGTATGCCGAAAATGTCCAAAAAGAATATTAATTACAGTTGCAGGTTTTAAAATTCGAGAAGATATATCGTCTTGTATTTTCATTCCTCTGGTCTTTAATATAGATGTTTATTCACTACGTTTATTTACCCCGCGTTCCACTATAGTGAGTTTCACTTTTTTTAGAAGATAATTTTTAAAAATATTTGAACGAAGTTTGGCTTCAAAAAAATGTTTTTAATTCTTGGCTTATGGTATAAAATAATTGCAAAAATAACTGTTATATTAATTCAATAGAATTGCCAACAAATGTAGGATCGCTCTTTCAATTCAATAGAATTCCGGGCAGTATTGGTCAAGGATTAGTCAG